TGGGGCCGACATGGAAAGCCAGGCCTCTGAGCCAGAGAGGTAGGGTAGGCCTCCTTGCCGCTCTCCACACACCACCATGCTGCCCAGAGGGGAAAGGATGAAAGGACGGCATTCCCATTACAAAGCTGAAGAAACCGAGGCTCGGAGGGGCTAGTGCCTTGTCTAAAGTCACAGATGGTCGGGGCAGAGCAGGGATTTGAACTGAAAACATAAGCACTTGACTTCTTTGGACTCTCCAGAAGGTTAACTTTTCTGTCATCTCAGCCTCCCATAACCCCACTCAATCCTTGTCTCTGGACTATTTTCGAGGTTGCAGGTAGGACAACCTCAAAACTTTGTGTTTGTTACATTTGAATTTGCACATTTATCATTATTTCTAAAGTGTACATAAAAATAAGGAGATCTGGCTTAAACAGAAAGTAAAAGACATCAATTTAAAAGAAATGTTCAAAAGAAGTTCTCCAACATATAAATACTTTTTATTTTTCTTTTCATTTTAAAACTCTCTTGAACAAATCTGGCAAAAGATGGGTCACTTTTGGGACCGGCAGTTGGTGTAATGGCTATGTCACTGGACTCCCATGTAGTCGATCGCAGTTCAAGTCCCAGACCTGGTGGCTTAAACTCATGCCGGGTGCGTGCCCAAGATCCCGAGAGGATAATGGAGGAGGAGGGATTGCAGTGTGGCCATCCCCCCTGGGGGGTGATTTCTTGCTTTCTGTCTCTCTGTCTCTCTCTGTCTTTCTGGCGAGTGCATGTGCCCTATAGCAAAAACCTCTCCAAAAACAAACAAACAAAAACAAACAAAAAACAATCAACAACAACAAAAAGAGACGGATCACTTTTGATAGCTTTAAGATTCCTCTCAATTTCTCTTTAAAATTCTATAGGAAGATAAACAAAAAAGAAAAAAAAAAAAAAAGAATGTGGAAATGAAGTCTGAAAAGACCAAATGCAAGAGACCAGCCCAATTCACCACTCCCCAGATCGCTCCAAGGGCTGTAGAAAGGAGCACATTTTTGGAATAAAAGTCACACAGTCCACGGCCTGAACCAGAACAGAACAGACGCTCCCGAAGGAGACCGGACACGCTCTGACTCACCCACTCTGCTTCTGTGATGCACCAGGTTAGTGCTAACCAGAAAAACAGACACACTCCCTGACTTTTGAACCAGTCAAAGCCAGATTTCTGCCTCCCGGTCAGCTGCTTTGTTTTTGTCCATTTCTTCAGCTATTTGTCCCCGGCCAGAGAGGAGGTAGAAGGTGGGGTGGAGGGGAGCGGCAGGGCTCGATCTGGCAGCTGCAGCAGCTTGTGCTGGAAGGCGCCTTTCCCAGATAAAGGGAGAGGCCATTCCCAGGAGGAAAGGGGACAAACCCCAACTCCATTCCAGGACACCAGCCTGGGGTGAACATGAGACCACGAGATTGAACCGGGCTCTACACATCAATCTTTTGTTTAAAGTTTCTCTCTTCCATGAAAGAGAGAGAGATAGGGGCAACTTCAACAGAGCTCCATGCTGTGACCCACACCAAGACTCAACCAGCCAGATTGTGAATGGACACACCCTCTCGGCATGCCCGGGAGATTCCAGGACTCCAACCCAGGACCCCACCTTCATGGGTCCATTTGCACCACCTCATTACTACCACCTGGCTCCTACACCAGGTGGTAGGAGGGGGTGCCTCCAGCACCCAGACCCCCTTACTAGGCCTGTGGCTCCATCACTTAGATGCTATGAGCCGGACCCTTCTCCAGGGTGAACAGAAGCCTCCTCACCTGGCAAGCAGGGAGGTTATGCCCTCCCAGCAGGGCCAATGCTCAGCCAACAACTAACGCTGCAAAAGGCCAGTCCCTTGCTGCAAGATAGGACAGTGATGTGGGGCTGTCCCCTCTTCAGGGCATGTTCATGGAGCTTCTTCCTCAGCCCCACTCAGTCCCTCACTCTCTCACAGGTTTTCCCCGCCATGCTGTCTCACTAAGCCCCGCTCAAGACTCCCCACTGCAGGCTCTGCCTCTCAGGCTGCCAGTGTGACCTGTTGAACTCAGAAGCAACTCCAGGTACACTTAGCAGCTTGGAAGGAAAGCTTCAAGTAAAACCTTCATGTATGTAGGTTTTTATTTTATTTTACGGATTTCAAATGAGATTCCAGAAAAAACAGAGCCAGGATATGTTGTGGTTCTGAAAGTGCGTGGCCAAATTGTTTTTCTGTCGGGATTGTCCCAGTTGGGCTACCAACAGCAATGTTTTCAGAGTACAAGGAACGGCACAGCCGCCAGCGCCAGAAGTGAGTCCAAACTAGTAAGGCTACACTATGCCTGCTTTTATTTGTGTATCTTGGATTGCTAATGAGGTGAACATTTTCCCGTATTTGCCTACTAATTGCACGTCTTTCTTACGTGGGTCTCGAATCTAAAAAGAAAATTCCACGCCAGGTTTCCAGAAGTTCCAACACCACGAGATCATTCTCGATGTGTGTGAGGCCTGCTCAGTTCCACGGAGGACAATTCCAAGTTTAGAAACTGGGCACAGTCGTTGGGGCTGTTTTTCCTGTGGAGAAAGGTTAAAGTAAAACAGATGTGAAGCTAGCCTCAAGTCGCTCTTCTTACACCGCACTATTTGTAAGGGAAAGTTAACTCTTGAACTCACATGCAAAAGAATGCTGAAGAGATCGTGCAACAGTCATTCAATGACTTTCACGTCTTTTTATGAATCAAAACAAATGTATGAAATAAATGCCCTAAGCCTAATTGCAATAAATTACTTCACTGCTCTCACTCCTTCCGCTCACGGCAGACTGCTTTGTTCTTCTGTCCCTCCCACGACCTTCTGTATCTTTCTCTTCAAGAGCTCTAAACGTGGCCGGATGGTGGCATGGTGCGCTGGATTCCATATTGCCAACTGTGCAGTTGTTCCAGACCCGGCAGATTGAAAAACATGCCAGGCACAGGTGTGTGCATGCCCTAAAATCCCAAGAGAAGGACAGAAGAGAAGGGATTGTGGCATGGCCATCCCTCTGGGGCTGGGGGTGATTTATCACTTTTTCTCTATCTCTCTAGTGAGCACACACACTGGATGGCAAATTTTAAATTAAAAAAAAAAAAAAAGCTTTAAGTGTAGATATTTCCCAAATTTCTGTCCTTGGTCTTTAGTCATTTTTCCTTTACATTCTCTTATGGTCCAGGGAGGATGGCCATGCTGTATCCCTTCTCCTCCATTTTATTCCTGGGATTTGGGGCACGCATGCACACATACCTGGCATGGTTTTCCAGAGTGACTGTTCCAAATCTTTCCATTTCACTCAGGTAGCATGCTCTCCACAGTTTACATACTTCTCGTTATAGGCACAAAACAGAAGCTATTAGACAAATTCAGCTCAAACATGTGTTTCTGGTCTGTGTTAAGACTTTAAATTACTTGCCAATATAAAAAATCTGGTAGATTTCATATCTAATTTCTACCTTCTCTTTAAAAAAAAAAGATTCTATAGTATTAGGCTTCAAATTCAAATTCCTACATAGCAAAGTAATGACCTCTTCCCCCCCCCCATTTTTGCCATATGTCATGTGTGCTTGCCAGAGAGAGAGAGAGAGAGAGAATGAGAAAGGAAGGGGGAAATGGCCATGCTGTAATCCCTTCTCTTTCATTCTCCTCCTGGGATTTTAAGCACTCACGCATACCCTGGCATGATTTTCAAGCCACAGGTCCAGGACTCAAACCGTGGTCACCATGTGGGAGCCCAACGCCTTAACCGCTTCACCACCTGCTGGCCCTATGTGTCCCATATTTATTATTTTTAAAATTTTTTAGGTTTCTTTTTCCCATAGGGCATGTGCACTCACTGGAGAGAGAGAGACAGAGAAAGGGAAAGTGAGAAAACACCCCCCCCCCCAGAAGGGATGGGCAATCCCTTCTCCTCCGTTCTCCTCTTGGGATTTTGGGCACAAGACACATACATGCCCAGTGTGATAGTCAAGCTGACAGGTCTGGGACTCGAACTGTAGTTAGCCATTTGGGAGTCCAGTGCCTTAGCTACCATGCCACCTACTGCCCTATAATCTTCCTCTTTAAATGAGGCTTATACTGTCCAGTTTATCAGTCTCCACTGCTTCCCATTGCCTTAACCTCTGCATATCTTTGCCTCTTTTCTTGATATCCTTTCTTCTCTCCCATGGTCCTTCTCTCCCTCCTTCCTTTCTTCTTTTCTTCCTTCCTTTCTACCTTCTTCCCTTCCTTCCTATACCTATCTTTTGCTGAGATTCTCTCCCTTTGTGCCTCCTTGAACTCATCTCTCTACATTGGAGTAAAATAAGAATGAAGAGGGGTCAGGCCTTCCTGACTCCCCACTATCACCACTACCAAGCTCGTCACTGACTGTGGCATGTATACCTGTGCGCAATTATCTATAAACACGGGGCCAAACCTGCAACACACTTGCTATATGTGAGAGGCTTCACAAATCAAATCGAATCGAATGTGGTCCTTGGCAGCCTAGAGTGCAAAGTGCAGGAAATGCCGGGATAGAACGTTGAGTATGATGCTGTAGAGGATGAAGGAAAGGCCACTCCATTTGAACCAGGCTTTCTGAAGTAAATGACTCACTTCATCTGATATCTGAAGAGCAAGGAGAAATTAGTTTAACTCGTAAGTTGAGGAAAAGTGAATTTCAGGTAAGGAAAGCAGTATCTGAGATACAGTGGAAAGCGCACACTGAATATGTGGATTTGCGGTCAGTTCTATATTGCCACAGATAAGGGTGCACTCCCTGAAGTCTTGAAAATGAACCAAGGATCATTTTTACCTACTCCCTTTTTTCAAAGTCTTGTTCTCTTTGATCCCAATTAAAATTGTAGAATTAATAAAATATCACAACTAACATAAATAAAAGCAATTGCATTATGAAAGATTAAACTTTTAACTTGAGACATACTTTTTTAAAAAAATCATGTGTTATCATAATCGTGTTTAAATTACATTGAATCACATATATCTTTACAGTGTATTACATTTCTTTTTCCAGAAGGAATACCATGCATATCAGTCAAGACAAAGACATTACTATCCACATCATCATCATCAAATAGCTTTTCATCATTTGAGACATACATTTTTAAATGTAGTTGTATATTATTTTGTGCATATCAAGCCTACTACAGTTTTCTCTGGAAGCAAGAGTTTGTAAGGAAGTTTGAAAGCAAGAACACATCATAGGCCCTTTTTATAAAAATAAAAATAAAAAAGGAATTTCATGATAGTGTGTAGGCATGCATATGTATGAAAGAGAAAGTGAAAGAGAATCTCCTTTCAGTGGGATCAGGTTGTGCTGTGAGCCCCTTCCCCCAGACATTCAGATCTTCAGGATGAGCACACAGAAACCCAAACCTGAGGTTGCCAATGTGGCTTCCAGCACTGCAGTTCAGCATGCCACCAACTGAGCTGCAGATGTTGGGCCAATCTAAAGCATTTTGAACATCAATCCTAACATGTTACTTTGTTTTCAAAGCCAGTAATTTAAAAATTAAAGAAAATTGTTTAAATGAAAACTGGATAAAGAACACGCAAGGCTTGCTTACTTATTTGGAGTAAAATAAGAACCAATATTTTCCAAATTATTTTCTGGAAGTTGCAACTAAATCAAATCTGATTCCATGAATCTCCTCTTGGGAATTGTTTGGCAAATATGAAATGTAGGTAAACATTTCCTCCCAAACTTCCAAGTGGAAATTTCTGCCACAATGTTGGGATAATATTACCTGAATTTATCTCTCAGGCAGACTAGATGATATTTTATATTTCTTACCCTGGAATCACTTTCAAGAATTGAATCAGAAAGATAGGAGACCAATTTCAGTAGCCATTTTTTCTCCCTATAGCTAAATTTTGGCTCTAACTGCCTGAAAAATTATTTCTTAATACACATTAATGTTAGTGCTAACCTCTTAAAATTTCAGGTTTTATATACAAAATCCAAATATAGCTGCCAAATATGCCAAGCAACAATGAAGGAGGTATCAGTTTGTAATTCTGAAGTAACTGGTGATTTCCTTGATATGTTGAAAATGAGGCCCCGGCATTTTTGACCCAAATATCTTTACTTTTGATAACTAACAAACTTCAGAATACAACTTAAGAACTTTGTCAATTTAAGAACTTTGAGAATTTAAATACTCACAAAGCAAGGCATATACTCTAGCACTTTTCACAGGAATGACTACCTTGATAATGATATGAATAACTCACATGGATTGCCAGGAAAGATTGGATGGTTAGCATAAATAACCGATTTTTTACTCATTCCTCCCTGTGAATTCCATGTTGCCGGATTGCTGGAGCACTATTAAATGCATATCCTTATCAATTCTTTTACCTCATTTGTTCAGAAGATTTTGAAAGAACTGCAAAGTTCTTATTAGATTTAGTTGTGGCTACAAAGCCTTGAAAAAACAGCTCCTTTTCTTTCACACCAATTATTTATTTATTTATTTATTGCTTTACAGTGCATGCACTCACCAGAGAGAGAGAGAAAGAGAAAGAGAACATGAGAAAGCACCCCCAAGTGGGATGTTCCACTACAGTCCATTCTCCTTCATTCTCCTCTGGGTGTTTTGGGCATACACGTAGAAGCACTTAGTGAGTTTTTCAAGCCACCTGGCTGGCCCTCCACATCATCTTTAATCCCAAGTTATGCAGAAACATATGGCACAGCACAGAGTTCTTGGGAGCAATTATAAGATACATCAAACTAATCCCATGATTTGATCTTTTGCAAAACTCAGATGTGATTATTACCAGGTAAGACATTCTATTTGCCTGACTGTAGCATCCAAAAAGAAAAATTTTGAGATAGAACTTAAATATCCTGTTAGAGAACTTATGTCAACACTCAGAATACATAGTTTCCCAAGAATTGCTCCAGTATTGTGAAGTTTAATCCTCCTGTAAATTAAAAAGACTAGTTTATAAAAAATACTTTTAGCCATTACAGTTTCTTCATAATATGACATTATTTAATATTATATGCTGCAGAGATGTCATACTGAAGTCTACCATATAAAAATAGGCTTGTGTGAATTTGATTTAAATGTTATTAAAGCTGAGACAAGTGTTTTTATTTTATTTTTTAGTTATTTTTTTCTACGAGTGAAAGAGACACAGAGACCAGGAGAAAGAGAGAGAAGAAAGACAACACCCTCAATAGAATCTTTATGCCATGACCCACTCCCAACCTCAGCCAGTCCAGATCATAGGCATGAGTGAGCCCAGTGTACTCAGGAGCGTCTCCAGATTTAAACCTGGAACCTTCCCATGTGGGTCAGCTTCCCAGAGTGTCACATTTATCACTGCACTGCCATTGAGTCCCTGAGTGTTTTTTGACATAAAATATACTAAGTTCAATTCCTGTAGTTTGCAACATATTTGGATTTAACTTTGATATAGATATGAGTGGGTCTCTAAAATTTGTGTTGGCTGCCAGATATAGCTGCCTTATAGAAAAATATTATCTTAATAAGAATTATTTTCAAGAGTGCAATGCTGGTTTTGAAGAGTAATGAGTGATGCTGATGGTGGTTGGCATATAATATAGCTTCCTTTCCTATCTGAGCTCAGTAAACAAAATATTTGTTCATTCTATGTCTACACCCATGTCAGTAGTCTAAAACATGCCATTCTTTATTGAAAATTTAGAGAAAGTTTAAAATATTTTTGGCAACTTTTTTTTAAACTTACTATTCAACTATATTTAAACAATAAAGAGATATATAAAGAAATAAGAATCATTTCCCCAACCTCCTTTCAAATTAATTTTCCTAATGTAAATGAAGTTATCTATCTACTGTCTTCATAATGTAACTGCAAACATATATATTCAAATTTATATTAACATGTAAATATATATGCAGTATATTTATTTTATAAAATAGTATTGCATATATTTCTGCAACTTGCATTATCATGTGACCATTTCTCATCTTAAAGAGAAAAAACAAAGCAAAAGGAAATGAAAGGAAGATAAATATTAACATGAAAACATGTGACAGTATAAAACTCACCAGCTGAACATCTACAGAAAGAGAAAAGATAAATGATTCAATCCTTACCATTATGGAAAACCTCCAGGTAGCAAACAAATACAGGAGGAAAAAGAATATAAGAAAACACAAAACAATCAGGAACCAACCAACAAAATGGCAGATATAAATCATACATATCACAATGTCATTAACTGTAAAAGGATTAAATTCCTGAACAAATAGTGGGTTACATTCAGGAGAGAAACACTGAGCTTGAAATCCCATTTCATAGCAAGTCTGCTCTTTACTCCAGAGTAGAAACTACTTCTTCTGGCAAGGTTTTTCACTGTAAATACCACCCTGAGAAAAGGCTGGATAGAAAAATGATCAAGGCTTTGCATGTTTAGTATTCACAGCAAGACAAGTGAGAATAGGAGACCTACAGAAGAGTGTCTTAACATCGGCCTTTAGTCTTCATGTTAGGTTAGTGAGAAATAATCATTTGCTACTGTGAGTCACTGCACCATTAGAGATGTTTTGTTACACAACAAAGTGCAGCTTTGCACTTTTGTACAGACAAAAATCCATCAATGCTTGCATATTTATCTTATATTTTATCACCTTATCTAATTATTTTATTTTTAAAAAGTTTTGATACACTTTCCAAAGGTTTCTAAATATGATAATATTTTCCACATCAAATGAATTGTTTCTTTTTTCCTAGTAGTCACTGAGCTATTGGAAAAGTCATGATATATTTTCCTATGTTTTTCTATGCAAAAAATGTGTCATGACTTTTCTGACAACCCAGTATGTTATCATTGATTACATTATTTTTAATCTTAAGTATTAGCTTAAATCTTCAAAAAAAATTGAATAATAATGATAGTAATTATGCTATTCATTAGGTTATTATCTCTTAGTTCTAGATCTACCTTTTGATATCCTACTTGTGAGGCCTGGATCGGAAGTCCACAAACCACATATTTTTGCTTTGTAAGTTGGTTCTCCATTTAACAAGTTGGTTCCCCATTAAATTCTGCTGACAGAGGTGTTGTAGGGAGCTCACATCTTACAGAAGATGGAACTGGTTTCTTCCTGTTTATTTTTTGTGATCTTCCTATATGTTCCCTGTTCTTGTCTTCCTACCAGTGGTGCTTTATCTTGGCAACAGTCATTTCTTCCCGTAGAAAAAAATGAATCAAATGAAGTTTTGTTTGTTTGTTTTTAACATTTGCAGAAACCACCTATTGCATCCTCTCTCAAAGATACTATGAGCACCCTTTACTCCAAAGTTCGAGTTTCATTTCCAAGACAGTCCTTCTCCAAGCTTCTAAGTTTAATAAATCCAGACTCTCTTCTTAATCCCACCTAATCACAGAGGGGTAGCTGCTTTTGCAATTTTTACTTCTATAATCCTTTTTTTTCTTACCTACCTCATAAACAATTTAACACCTAATTAGTAATTATTTATATTAGATTCTCTCTGCTAAAATAACTGGTGTGGCATCTCCTCTTGGCTGACCCAATCGGTACAGTAGGTATTTCTACATATTTCTTGATTTTAATGATGGTTCTTTTAACATTGTGGTGGCTGGTTTT